GAGCAAGGTAAATGCAAAAAAAGGAATGGGACAAACATGACTCATGCAAAACCAAATGGCCTTGAGAGCAACTCAATAACAACTACAATTCTTCATTGGCAAGGAAACTAGGCAAGCACTCATATACATTAAGAGTTGAAGTAGAAAGGATAACAAATAGTAAAAAGGATAACAATAAAAGTAAATGGATAAACATCGTATGGGGATTGAACACAAAACCAAACTCTAGTAAGTGGATTGGTATCACATATTGATTGGCCTAAAACGCTGGTTTATAAAATAAGATATTGCATAATTTTATTATTCAATATAATTAAACTAAACATCGACGGTTAATTGGCACTACTACTATAATATTATTATTATATTATCATAATCATTGTCATTACTACTACTAATCTACCAAGGTAGCCAAAAGTGAGCGTCTGAGCCTTAAGACGCACAAGGGAGGCGCTACTAAGGGTGGGCGCTTTAAGACCTTAGTACGGTGCAGCAAAAGCGCACAAAAAGCGCACAAGGTGCACGCTTACAAGTTCATTAATTCATTATTATTTGATGATTTACCTGTTCGGTTCGGTTCGAATCGATGTTTGGGCCTTTAAGGACCGTTACTAAACCGATTTACAATTTGGGGACCAACTTTCAGGTCCCATACAAGTAGGTTCGGTTTGGTTGTTCAGTTAAAAATGCCAGCCATAAACAAGAGTGCTGAAATTTGAGCAGCATAATGTACCTCTGTTGAGCTGGTTCACAAGAATTTTGAAAATAAATAGTACTTGTGATGTTATGGACAGTAGAAGTTATATGAAGCATACTTACCAACGCAGTTAACTTTTGCACTGAATGGTTCAGTAGCTATCTGTTCCCTGTAGCTCTTGAACCCTTCAATAATAATCTGCACCAAAAGCATCCCCCCAAAATGAAAGCTTCAGTCAAGCGCGCAATCATGAAAACTTCAGAGAAGCATGCGATTGTGTGCATAAATACGTCCACAGCATAGATACCCAGACACTGCATAATATTTGGATGCTACTGAAATATGTACGTGCATACACAAGTGGAACCTACACACTGTAGCTTCTTAATTACCTGTTTTATGTACATGATGATTACTAGAGCCAAGTATATGTTTCTTCTGCAGTAAGAGATCACGGTAGATCTTCATCATTAAAACAACGCAACATGTCGCATGAAGCAATATCCGGATATATTACAGACCTGATTTAGGGTTTTCGAAGAGCAGTTACAGCTTGTGAAGCACATATACGGCCTTCAGTCGCCGCCTTTAGCGCGCTGAATCGGTCTGTAGACAGGGACGGCGAGAATCGTCTGGGGTACCTTTTGCAACAAAGCTTCAAAGAGATGTGTCGTGTGTGACGTTTTGGGTTCTGGCAGGAACTCCCATTTGGAATCAAATGATTTTTGCTGATTTGCAATTGGAATTTGTATAAGAATATTAAATTGGAAAAAGGATCAAATAAGCCTGGTACTATTATCAAAAAGTCAAATAAACATATCTACTTTAAAAACGGTCATACCGGTACATTTACTTAGTAAAAAAAGTCAGATACGTCAAATGACCGGCTAAGCAATTGCAAAGCCCGGTTGTTTGCTTGCGTGTCCTGTTCTTTGAGCTATTCTTTCAGGTCTGGCTATTGCAATGACAACATGGCAAATTTTTTTCCAACGTGGTTGTTCAAGTCGGGTAGTCCAGAAAGAGAGGTGAATCGTGCTTCAGTTGTTCAAGTGGTTGTTCGCAATTAGGGTTTGATTTTTCAACCGCGTTTGAACGCATCAATGGCTGACAAGAAAATTGCAGGGATTCCACTTTGGTCGCCTCCATCGCCATCTGCGAACTAATATCTCTGAACTCACAGTGCTTCGAAGTAAGTATACTTTTCTGTGTATGGTTTTATCGTGATGTTGCTATTGTGTTTCGTTAGTATATGACAAATTAATCTAGAGTGTGGGAAAATTAATTTCTTTCCGAACTATTATCGGCGAATTAATATATGTGAACTCATATCTGTGATATCACTTTCGTGTGTACACTTCGGAGTCATGTTGTTATTTTCTATTGTGGGGAAATTAATTGCTTAATTGGTCTTGTTAATTTGTAGTTTTATGGGTTTCCAAATCTATATGTAGAATGTGAAGTTAGGACCTGTACCATAGTAATTACCAAATTGTTTTGTCTTCCAAAGTCGGAGATGCCTGCTTTGCTATGTTGTTGTTTATGCCTCTTTTCTATGGTTGCTTGCGTGGACCTGTGTTTTTTAGGTCTGAGTTGGAGTCCATTCATGGTACTAACATGACTTTTGGGACTTACAAATGGATACGTAACCAGTGTGTTGTTCATACTGCCTCCCAAAACTGTTATGGGATTGGGCTGGTTGCTTGTTCTAGTGTGTTTTCTAGTGCTGTTCTTGGTGATTGGGCTGGTTGCTGGTTCTATCTTATTTTGGTTATGGTTCATAAAGAGTTATGGGAGTTTTTCACTTTTACATCTCTGGATTATTGTCACAATGACACTATTGGTATATATTTGTATTTTCCCAAATAATAAAAGATATTTTATTAATCTCCTTATATTGGTGTCATTCAAAATATCATTTGCTCAATCTGACATATTTGATTAATCTGTTTACATTGTAGAATGTTTTTGGAAGTAGAGTGGAGAATACACCACGGGGGGATTTTGTTAAACAAGCTGAACTGGCATACGTAAATGGTGAGGTGCACACCATTACTCTCGATCCTGATAAAATCTCTTATCCGCACCTGTTAAATTTTATCACCAAGACACCAAGGATGCATACAAGAAGGTGGAGTCCTTATCATTTAAACTACCTGGGGAGAAGATGGAACAGTTAAAGCCATTATGGAATGATGCAACTACTCTTCAGCTTATTGAGATGGTAACCGAATGGGGAGTAGTTGACATTTATGTGGAGCATGGTATTGATGAGCCTGAACTACTTTCTTCCTTTGCTTTGCCTTCAACTATAAATGCTGAGATAGTTGTAGAGACAGAAGAGAGGGGTGAAGGAGAGCATGTTGCTGACATAAGAGTTGGAATGAAAACAAATACAACACTTCCTACAGAAACAGAGAATGAAGTGCACAATGAAATGCCACAATTTGAAGAAGAAACAGAACAACAAGAGCTTTTACATTTTGGCGATGATCAAATTTCAGCGGAGGAGCAGGATGATGGAAATTATGTTAATGATGCAAAGCTAAGAGAGAAGCGAATGGCCTGGGTAAAGAACAAGAACAAGACAACCACCGATGAGTCGGTTTCACATGAGGGAGGTGAGGAAGTATCTAGTCAATATTATGACTCAAATGAACCTCCCAGCTATTACTCAGAATCTGAAAAATAGGAGGTCGAAATTTCAGAGGTCCAGTCTAAGGTGCAGGTTACACATAAAATTCCTTCATACAATCCAGTTTCAGAATCAAAAGACTTAGAAGTGGATATGTTGTTTGAAGATGGCATACAATTCAAAACAGCCCTGATTAATTATGCAGTGCATAACAAGAGAGATATCAGGTGGGTGAAGAATGAGCCAACAAGACTTCAAGCAAAGTGTGAAAATAAAAAGTGTCCCTTTAAGTGCACTGCATCATGGGCTGAACAGTACAAGTGTTTTCAGATGAAGACTTGGGATGAGACCCACAAATGCAATGAAAAGTTCAAGTTGAAGCTAGTCAGTCAGAAATGGCTAGAGGATAAGTTTGAAAATAAAATCAGGGATAACCTGAGCATTGGAAAAGTGGAAGTACATAAAGAGATACGTAGTGAGCTTAATATTCATGTCAACATTTCTAAGGTGAAAAGAGTCATTGCAAAGGTTCTAAAAAAAGTGAATGAGTCTTTTGGTGATCAATTTCGTAGGCTAAGAGACTATGCGGCAGAATGCATTAGATCTAATCCAGGGAGCACAGCTATAGTGAAAACACACAGGTTGACTGAAGATGGACCTGAAGTATTCCAGAGGATGTATGTGTGCTTTGGGGCATTGAAAAGAGGATTTTTAAGTGGTTGTCGCAAAGTTCTTGGGCTGGATGGGTGTTTTCTGAAAGGAATGCTTAAGGGTGAAATTTTAAGTGCAGTTGGTAGGGATGCAAATAATGAAATGTATCCAATTGCATGGGCCATTTTAGAGATAGAGAACACAGAAACGTGGAGATGGTTTCTAAATCTACTCAAAGAGGACCTTGAGATCAATAATAGCTTTCATTGGACCTTGATGACAGATCAACAGAAGGTATATAAAGTTAAACTTCAGTATATAAGACTTATACTTTATTTGATCTTACTATGTATATCTGAAATGATTTTAATAAGAGTAATTTTGCCTTTCATGAAGGGATGCTGATCCTTTGATGTTAGAATCTTAGATATAATACTCAATAAGTTCTTAAAGTCAGCGGCCTTTTAAATCTTTAATGTAGAGGAGTTCTCAAGTAAGTTATGTCAAATAGATAAGAAAATAGAACACTTCTGTCAAATAGAAAGAAACAATAAGCAGGAAAAGAGCTTTAATAAAATGTCTTCTACAAGGCTGAAATAAGTACTCAACAAAGTGTATATGCTCGTACTTGATGGTTTACAGAATATCATGTACACGCCAATGCCAATGCTATATACTTCATGTATATGAGGGAGATTTTCAATTTCTTTGCCCCCATAGGAGCTTAGTCAATTACTGCAGGCATATACATGGTAATGTCATGTATACAGGGCTTACTAATGGTTGATTCATTACTCATTTATATTTACAGGGCTTAGTCAATGTCATCAAGGAGCTATTCCCTAATGTTGAACACCAAAATTGTTGTAGGCATATACATGCCAATTGGAGCAAAAAACACAGGGGGAAAGTTCTAAAAAAACATTTCTGGATTTGTGCTAGGTGCAGCACGGAAGGCCATTTTCAAGACGAAATGAAAGCATTAGAGAAGATTGATAGGTCAGCTAAGGCAGATTTGGAATTGTATCCAACTTCACAATGGTGCAAGGTTTTTTTCAGAGTTGATGTGAAATGTGATATACTGGATAACAATTTGTCAGAGTGCTTTAATAACACAATTGTTAAGGCAAGGTCTAAACCCATTATCCCTATGCTTGAAGCGATTAGAGTTGCCACAATGAAGCGCATTGCGAAGAAGGTTAAGTTTTCTTCCAAGTGGGCTGGGAAACATGGCCCGCGTATTATTAAGAAGTTGAATGCTAACATACTTCACAGTATGGGCTGGAAGGTTCGTATGCATACCTACTTTAGTAATACTTATTTTATTAAGATATGTTAACCCATAATTTACTCATGCATAACAGGTAATATTTAATGGGGACGATGGGGACGAGGTAAAGAAAGGGAGGCATCAGTTTCAAGTGCAACTTCAACGTAAATCTTGCTCTTGTAGAGCATGGGATTTAAGTGGAATTCCTTGCCCGCATGCAGTTTGTGCTATATTTGACAAGGGTGATGAGCCTGATGATTATGTTGATGATTGCTACTCCAAGGAGGTGTATGACCGCATTTACTCCCATCATTTGGAACCAATGAATGGGGAGTTGTTATGGCAAAAGACACAAAATAATGACATTGCGCCCCCCCCCCCCCCCTCCCCAATTCCCAAAAAACTAATTGGCACACCTAAGAAGAAAAGAACCTGTGAAGCGAGTGAAGTTTCATCATCTTCCAAGGGTAGGACAACAGTTTCTCGCAAAGGAAGAGTTATGAAGTGTTCTAAATGCAAGGAAGCAGGGCATAATAAAGCAATGTGCCCAAAAAAAACCACAGACCCACAACCCACAACGACAGAGGTAGTATGTAAGCCTTCAAAAAGAAGAGTTAAAACACAAGGAAAATAAGGATGTGATAGACCTCAAAAGAAAAGAAGAAGCCATAAGGGTTTTGGCATTTACATTGAACCTGAAACAGGAGAAACTATTGTAGATGTATGTTTGTACTTAATTTACTTACGTGAAATTGTTTGATATATACAGAGTACATTATACATGATAATTTGTTTTTTTGTAGCCTGGACTACGAAGTGAACAAGTACTGTAACATGGGAACTGGAAGATTGGAGAAGTGATTGTAGAAGTGAACTGCTAAACTGGCCTTTGTATAGGGATGAAACCCCTTTTGTTTTGTAATGTCTTATTTTGTTCATGGCTAAAAATGGCCCTTTTGAATGTGTCAATGTAATGGCATGTTGAAATTAGAACAGATTGCCATTTCATCCCTTAAATTTTAGTGGTTATGTGTACTGCCAGTTGTAGTCACTATGCAAACATATACTTTGCAAACTTTTGTCGGAAAACTTATGTATTTGACAAGTAAAGTTCTTTAATGGTATCATGGACAATAGGTTATGTGTACTGCCAGTTTTCATTTTCATTTCAGTAGAAGTTATAGGTTAGGCTGCGTTTTTTGGCTTTGGCTTTGTCATTATCGGCCTGCAAAACCTGTGAAGGACGGCATTCAACCTTCTTCCAATTGCAGCCTTACTATACTCCAATGTTTTCCATTGACAAACTAGTTTTCTGGAAAAAATATGGGTAGCTTGTAATGTTTTTAAAATGGAATATGAACCAGCAAAAGTGATTGGGAATTAGTTATGAAATTTCAAATCGAAAGCTGGAGAAGTGCTAGTGCTCTTTATGCCACTGCAGGGTTCATATGATGATTGGTATTGGTTATATGCTGCAGTGAGTTGCAAGTGTTTGATGGTCTCTAATGATGACATGAGGGGTCACATATTCCAGCTGTTAGGGATCACAAAATAGGGTGATGAACAGAATACATACAACATAATAAATAGTGTAGACATTCAACAAATCATGTCACACACAAAATATGTTTCTTAATTATCCTTGCATTCATTGTTTCATATTTCCTACAAGGTAAGACTAACAACCTGCACTACAAATTATTACAAGTCTAATTCTTCCACCTTTGTACTCCTACAGAGAGTCAGACATGAAGATACAAAATACAACCCCAAATATTACAACTCCATTAGTTCCACCTTTGTACTCCTACAAACATGAACATAGAATTTGCAACCCCAATTATTACAACAACTACAAAATATCTAAATCTCTTGTTTTCTTCAATCGCACCATGGAGAGCTACTTTGACATGGCAAACATCACCACGGATGTGAATTACGTTCTCCCGTAAATCATAGAGCACTGTTTTGACCTCCTCCGAGCTTACATTTGGATTTCGTACTTCTTGAACTTCACTTTCCTCTTTCCAAGCAAAGAATCCACAACCTCCACCCCCATCCTGCAAAATTTATGAAAATATGTGCATACATAATTACTAAAAAGAGTTAATATAACTTAAAAAAAAGAGTCAATACAGGAATATAGCTTCACATTAAACAATTGTGCTCCCAAATCAATTGTCCTGCAAAAATTACATTTTGCTTCATATTTACCTTCAATTCACACTTCACAAATTAACTACAGTCTCACAAACTTAGCTTCACATTTCATAAATTACCTACAAATCGATCCCATAACAACAAATTAGATTTCAATTATGGTTTTAGCTTCACATACCTTCCATCGTTGACATCCAAATAATGTGATAGACATGTTGAGTAACCTTTGAATGTCTGTAGCTTTGAAATTGAAGCTAAAGACGATTAGCTAATGTGATTTAGCTCCACATATGCAATAGACGCCCGGTTATGTGAACCTTTGGTAATTATTTTACCATGTTGATTTTGAAATCTAACGATTAAGGAAGCTGCAGACATCCAAACGGTTTAGCTCCACATATGCAATAGACGCCCGATTCGTAGTTCAGAGTCGGAGCAACCTTTGAAATTGAAGTAAATGAAGCTGCATACATTCTTGGGCGATGATGAGCGCTGATAAAATCACGTTGGTAGGGTTCAGAGCGAGGAAGATGAAGAGCGGTAATTAATATGCAATCCCTTCCCTTTACGGTCAAATACAACTAAGGATATGATGATCTGGAAAAAACCTAGCCGATTGGGTAAAGAACAGGACACGTAAGCAAACAACCGGGCTTTGCAATTGCTTAGCCGGTCATTTGACGTATCTGACTTTTTTTACTAAGTAAATGTACCGGTATGACTGTTTTTAAAGTAGATGGGTTTATATGACCTTTTGATAATAGTACAAGGGCTTATTTGACCCTTTTTCCTATTAAATTTGATTCGAATTGTTATCAAATACAAATAAAAATATCAGTGTATTCGATTTGAATATTAATCAAATGTATTCGATTAATGATAGTGATATTATTATAACACGGAGTAATATTAATAGAACTATAATAACTTTTAAAAGATATTTATACATTCAAAGTGTAGTTAGTCCATATATGCATTTATGTATACAAATTTCAAGTTCAGTTGTAGTCAATCAAAAGTATCATACGGAGTAAGGATTGTAAAGAAAGCAAATCATCATAATTCGATTCGTGGTTTGGATTCAAAAAATATAATTTAAATTTGAAAATATAGAATATAAATACGAATACAAATCATATTTTTGGTTCAAATATCTTTCAAATACGAAAACAAATAATTATGTATTCGATTAAAAAAAAATTAGAGGCGTTTGACTACATGCGATATATGCATATATCAACTTGTTTCACACATATTAAGTATAATTTCTAATATGTGTGTTAGTGTTTATCTCAAAAAGTTTGAAATAGATTTATAATTATTAATCATAAAATTGATTTACCTTAGTATATTGTGTACAACCTAAAAATGCATCGATCCATTAAATTAAATTTTTAAAAACACATATTAAGGTGTAGCATGCATTTATAACGTAAAAAATATAAGAAAAATTACTTTAAAGTGATACTACTATTTGACTAATATTTAATTAATGCTCAAATCGATTCGATATTCGTATATGATTCGTTAATTATTCGTATTCTTAAACAAACAAAATACAAATCGAAAATAATACTCGTTTCATATTTGAATGCGGATTCGTATTCGAAAAAATTAAACAAATACAAATACAAAATCTCACCATTCGACTCGATTTGGTTCGTATACAACCCTACTTATCCCATAAAATTTTGTCAACTAAACTTTGTCAAATTTGACGACACAAGAATTGATAAGTAATAAAACTGTGTGATTGAGGTTTGTGCAGAGGTGAGAGAATTAACTGGAACCATAAATTATTTAATTGAATGAAAAAGTGACAAAGTTAGTGAGACATTCAAAAAACAAAAGTTAACAAGGTTTTAAGGGGGACAAAGGGGGTAGTATTCACTCCTTGTTATTTCACAGGTTTTATTAAATTAAAATAAAATTTCAAAGAATAGGGGTTTGACCAATGCCCCTTCGGAGAAGGCAAACCCTCTCAAAATACATCAGAACCAACAGAAGTGTGTTAGATTGGGGGCTATGTCTGACCCAATCAAAAAATATACCCAAAAAAGTGAAAAAGATGGATTAGAGGGGCTAGGCCTGCTTCCTTTTCACATTGATCTAGGCGTAAATGAGTCAATTTGTTCGTGAGCCGCTCGAAAAATGTTCGACTCGAGTTCATCATATTTAAGCTCGTCTCGAGTTCAACTCGGCTCACATAATTAAAAAGCTCGATTCAAGCCTACTTATTTTAGACTCGTGGCTCGCGAACCGGCAAACCGATTCGAGAGCCTTTGTGTGTGTATATTATACATATACTATATATAACTATATACCTGACCAGGGCCGCCGTTTGTCCACCTCGTTTTGAGGTGGTTCCCGGTGGTATATTTTGCTCACATTTTTTAGCATGCTCCTCAAGAAGTGTCGATTGTTTCCACCAAATTTGAGCAAAAAGTTCATTCGAGAAGGCTGTAAAATGATATTTGGAAGATAACCGCGACAAAATATACATATAAAACGCAGTTATCTTCCAAAAACCATTTGACTGCCTTCCCGAGTTTTGCTCAAATTTGGTGGAGATCATCTACACTTCGTGAGGAACATGCTCAAAAAATTTGAACAAAAAATATCACCGCAAAATTATCACCGGGGACCACCTCAAAACGAGGTGGCCGGGCGGCGGTCCTATCAGGGATTCCCGATTGCCGGTGTACGAAACTGTGATGGATGCGTTGTGGGGTGCCTAGAACTTCCAACACCATGCAGATGGTTCCTCAAGTCGCCTGGAGTCACCACGTTATCATTCCTCCTCCGGAAATCGCTCCGTCGTGAACGACATCCTTCATCTTTGATCACAACTTGGTTCATTCGAGCATCGCCTTGGTTACTACTTACTGTCAGCACAGTTGTGACTGTGTGGTCCAACCATCGTCGCCGTAAATTGGCTCCCAACGAGAGCACCAAATGGTGGAGTTTAATTCTAGCTACGAGAGATAATCTACGAGAGCAGGTGAAATTGGACAGCGTAATGCAGTTTTATTATTCCAAGAGTGTGGATCCCTTTTAGGGTATGTACAGGAAGTATTTATAGAAAAAGAGTTGCATCGGTCTAGCAGGAAACTGATACATTTAA